TGCTTAATTCTTTTTACTTTTTCTTTCTTCTGACATTATTTTTGCATTTGCAGGACAAATCTTTTCTCAAATAACCCCACTCCACATCTCTTAATATCTCCATCCAAGTTTATTCATCAGACATTAACCCCTTTTTAACCTTTGGTGTGGATGCTCTAAGAGAGGTTGGGAGTTTAAACGAAAAATAAATATAGTAAAAAAAAATTTAGACGGCGTCATTTTAAAGTAAAACGATGTTGTTTTGAACTCGAGTCTACATTATAATTTGTCATGAGTATGATGGGATTAAGAAATCTTGGAGATTAAGAAAGTATAAGAATTTGAATTCTTCCACTATGATTATGATTCCTTGTCTTACATGTGAATTAAGAATATTAAACATCAACCATGACAAGGATTGAAATCTTGAACTCTATATAAAGGGCCGGGATTCAACTATTCTCTCAAACTGTACAAGAAATCAAGAATTTGGCACATCACTTTTTTATTTGAGCAACCAATCTGTTCTTCATTATATTTTGGAGGTAAGTTTATTTGCTAGGCATAATTTATTTATTTTTCATGAGCATGAAGACCTTATGGTTAAACATTCTCACCAATAACTTTTAGTGGGGTTTTTTAAAAAATAAGATGATGCATTCAAAGTTGATTGTTATCAAATGCACAGATTTGTTTTGTTTTTTTGTTTTTTTATTTTTTTCTTTTTATTGTCTTTACTGAGGCTCGAACCCACAACCTCCTCTATAAGAATTCAATCTTGGTGCCATTATAGAATCCACAGACCACAATCTCTTATATAGGAATTCAACCTTAGTACTATTAGACCACAAAATTTTGGCAGAGCATAGAATCTTTGTGCTTCAATAAACTGAAAAAATATAAATAGACATATATTATAGGGTAACAGAAACAATATTATTATTAAAAATAATAATAATAAAAATAAAATTTAAATTTAGAAGCAGCGGTAGTAGTATGGGCGAGCACACAGGGTAGTCGAGCCCAGGGGGGTAAAATAGAGAAAGCAGGAAGGAGGGAGACGATTTCCCTGCGTGGAACCCTTACCGTAGTTTTCTCTCGCGCCTCACTCTCTTCTTCCTCAACTCCAAGGCTTAGATCCGAGGAGTTTGGGAAAACCCTAATTTCTCTCTCGCCACACTTCTTTCGCTCTTTCACTTTCTCTCTCATCACTCCATTTCACTTCGTCTTCAGGTACCCAATTTTTTCCCCCCCTTTCTGAATCAGCTTCTGTTTTGCTAATTTATCTTTTCCGGATGTCTTTCTTTTTCGGTTTTTCTTCCTTTTTAGTGATTTTAACATGTTATTTGATGCATATCTTCTTTGTTTTTTCGCGCTTAGAATGGAAAATTTTAATATATTTGGAGATTATATTAAACAATCAAGCTTTTTGTTAATTAGTTAAGATGATGGTGGTTTGCGGAACTCGGTTAGGTAAAATATTAATTCTTGAATGATATTGTTAAGCTTATGGTTGATGAGGTTTTAGATATTCATTTTACTTGGAAGTTTACAGTTACAATCATTATCTGCAAGCATAAAAAAAATAAACCAGAGGTGTAAATGTTACATAGCAGTGTTTAGCTGGTAGGTATTTCTTGTTTGTTTGCCCATGAACATTCCTATTAATATGTATTTTGTATTTTGCTATAGTGCTTTGTTTATACATAAAATAGTTATTCTGTTTAGGTGCTTGTGGTGTTTTTTTTTTTTTTTTTTTTTCTTTCTATCCTGATAGTGTTTTCAATGTTTTTTTTTCAGTTATGGCAGGTGCAGCACCAGAGGGATCCCAGTTTGATGCTCGTCAGTATGATGCCAAAATGCAGGAGTTGTAAGAACTATTCTCAGTTGTTACCTTTTACTAGATGGTTCTTTCTCCAATTTGTTATTCATTGGTTATGTGTCTGTAGGCTGACCGTTGAAGGGCAAGAGTTCTTCACCTCTTATGATGAAGTTCATGACAGTTTTGATGCCATGGGTTTAAAGGAGAACCTTCTCAGGGGAATTTATGCATATGGTAGATATATTTTCAGCCTGTTCTTTAACTCTCCATTGCTAATTATGAATATATTATATTACTAGTATTTACACTGAATTTTGCATTCCTGAATATGGTTTGTTAGATAGTGTTTTTAGTGAAGTTTATATATCACATACATGGTGAATGTTTTCTCTGTGTTCCAACCCTAAATGATTGCATGATATAGTGCTACTAACTTGTATTCTTAAAATATAGGTTTTGAAAAGCCCTCAGCAATTCAGCAAAGAGGTATTGTTCCATTCTGCAATGGTCTCGATGTAATTCAGCAGGCTCAATCTGGAACTGGGAAGACTGCTACTTTCTGCTCGGGTGTTCTTCAACAGCTCGACTATGACAAAGTGGAATGTCAAGCTCTGGTCTTGGCACCGACTCGTGAACTTGCACAGCAGATTGAGAAGGTTATGCGGGCACTGGGAGACTATCTTGGTGTCAAGGTACATGCTTGTGTTGGAGGAACCAGTGTCCGTGAGGACCAACGCATTCTTTCCAGTGGAGTTCATGTAGTTGTCGGAACTCCTGGGCGTGTCTTTGACATGTTGCGTAGGCAGTCCCTTCGTCCTGATTACATTAAGATGTTTGTATTGGATGAGGCTGATGAAATGCTGTCAAGAGGATTCAAGGATCAGGTCTATCTTCTTCTCTTGTCTTTTTTGATTGATGGTTCTCTATCTAGTGGTTGAATTATCTATGTATGATGGTACTCATCTTTATATTTCACTTGTGCATATGATGGTGCTCATCTCAAACGGTCACTTGGCATAAATTTATATTTGCCATTGTTCTAACTACAATATTGTTTTTACGCAGATTTATGATATTTTCCAGCTTCTGCCTCCAAAAATTCAGGTTGGTGTCTTCTCAGCTACAATGCCTCCTGAGGCACTTGAGATAACAAGGAAATTCATGAACAAACCTGTGAGAATTCTTGTGAAGCGTGATGAGCTGACACTAGAGGGTATTAAGCAATTCCATGTCAATGTCGACAAAGAAGAGTGGAAGCTTGAGACACTTTGTGATTTGTACGAAACCCTTGCCATTACACAGAGTGTGATTTTTGTGAATACCCGTCGTAAGGTTGACTGGTTAACTGACAAGATGAGAAGCCGAGACCATACAGTGTCAGCCACCCATGGTGACATGGACCAGAACACAAGGGACATTATTATGCGTGAATTCCGTTCTGGGTCCTCCCGTGTTCTCATCACTACTGATCTGTTGGCAAGAGGAATTGATGTTCAACAAGTATCCCTCGTCATTAACTATGATCTCCCTACTCAACCCGAGAACTACCTGCATCGTATTGGTCGTAGTGGAAGGTTCGGGAGGAAAGGTGTGGCAATCAACTTTGTAACAAAGGACGATGAGAGGATGCTTTTTGACATCCAGAAGTTCTACAACGTGATGATCGAGGAGCTGCCAGCAAATGTTGCTGATCTCCTGTAACAAAGTTTTGTCACTACAAGCTCAAAAACCAGTCTCTTCCTGCTTTCGACTTTTCTTCTTTTCTGCAGTTCCCTTAGTTTAGCAACTCTTATTGTCTAAATTTATGAAGCAATGTAATCCATCTCTGTATCTTATAAGTGGGGATCAATTTAGAAGATTTTGCATTTGAGGTTTGTAACTGAAAGGTTACCTTATTAACCTAAGGATTGTTACTTTGGTTATGTTTTGTCTTTTATTGCTTGAATGATGGAAGCAGTGATTACTGGGAGCTAATATTTCAATTTTGTGATATTCTCAATTGTCCAATATATGGTTGCAATACTTAAAACCAGATTTACTGAAAATCCTACAGAATCTTCATTAATAAAGGCAATGAATTTACGTATGAAAATGGAATATATTTAATTATTATTTAATATACAAGTCAATAGAAATCCTTTTAGCTTAACTATAAAGCTTACGTGATGAAAGGACAATTTATATCGTGGTCTACAATGCACTGTGGATCTTGGTCCAATACACATAATTTGACTTTATAATGTACAGAATTCATGTTCATAATACACACACATAAACACAATATAATGAAGACAAAAACACTTAATATAGTACACCGAATTCATATTCATAATGTATAAAATTCAGGTTCATAATGCACAAAATTCATATTCATTATATCATGTTTATGTGTATGTTTTATTATAAACATAAATTCTATACATTATGAAGTTCAATTTTGTGCATTGAACCAAGGTCCATAGTGCACTGTGCATCCTGATCCACGATATAATAATTGTGATGAAAGACAGCTAGGAAAGGCTCGATAAAAGAAGAGAATTCAATGGATCAAGGCTTGAAGTAGCTCGTATAACTTTGTAAAATCATTTCACATGAGACGTATAATACTTAACTTTCATTGAAAAATATGACGTATAATACTTTACTTTCTTTGAAAAATATAACATATCTCACGCAAAACAATTTCACGCAAAGCCAATTTTTAGTCTTTTGGGTTGGTGATGCTGTAGCATTCAATATGATATGAATTATATACAACCCTACCAATTTGACGATATGGGAGGAAAAAACACAAAATAGATAGATAGCAAATAGGAATGCATTATACTCTACAACACAGATCAACAGAGAAAATACTTGCACCAACCTTGTACACAAGTCTAGGGCACAATGTTGAAGGTTTCGGTTTTCAACCAATAGACCACCAAATAGCACTACTAAAGCATCCTATTTGACATTCAACTCGAAATTTAGGTGTTTTAGGAGGAAAAAGAATACTGTTGGGGCGAATAGCATTACAAAGGCAAATTTACAGTGATGACCATTTAAATGGAATCATCAAAGGGTATGCGAAGTATAAATAAAACATACCACAACAAGCAGCCTCAACGGGCAGATTTTCCTTCCTGCGTTACCACAATCTGGATCTGTTTATTGGTTTTATATCTTTCACAGAGCACAAATAACGACCCATTGTTACTTCAAAGAAAATCAACTTTCGGGGGGCTTCAATTCTACCCAATGTCCGTCACACAATTTACAAGAATGTGAATGTGGCCAGCATTCAATAGTGGGCCTTCTCCTCGTCATCGATGCGCAGAGTTTCTATTCCTTTCAGTGTAGATTCATAGTTCTTTGTGCTAGAAATGTTCCTACCGGATGAAGCATGCTTGGTGGTGGGGTCAGATGAGCCACCAAGCGGATAACTTCTTTGTCCACTGGAGATTTTTGGTCCAGTCCCTACACTTGCCTCAGGAGTGCGAGAATGCATAGGGTCAGAATCAATACCCATAGTCAGTGATTCACGATTGCCGGAGACAGCACCTCGCCTCAACGATCCACTTGTTCTTCCCATAGCGGTGGGGGTCGACAACTGCAAGGTTCATTGATTTTATTACCCTTCAAGAAATTATCAGAATTGTTCTACGAGAAAGGAAACATGTTTCGTGTAGAACTTGTAAGGTATAAACACCAGAGACAAGTCATCCTGCTGGAGGTAGGAGAGACAAATTCCAAGACCTATCACTACTTACATAGGCCATTGAACTAGGTTTTTAACATTTACTTGCATCAGAGACAAAGGCAATAGCAAGATAAGGCTTCATTTTCAACCCTAGAAAGTTCCTTGCCCTCGGAAAACACATCATCTTGCCTATCAACCGCTCTTTAGTTAAACAAAAGTAATTTGGATAACTTACCATAGCATCTTTGCTTGTTGATTCATTACCGATAGGGCTCTTCTGCTTAGATAAGCTTCCTACATTCATAAGTGGTCCAGAACCTCTCCTTCGAGCAGGATCTGCTGATTGCCTCCCTTCTTCTTCACCTGCAAGAATAATAACATAAATCATTTGAATTTGGAATTTAAGCAGATATATATCAACAATGTAGAAAGAGTATTTCACTGTTAAAACCCAGAAGTAGAGACAGGGTCGATTATGATTTTCATATATAAAGGTAAACATAGAGAAGGCATATGGCATAAATTACCAGACTGTCCCACATTGACAATTGCAGGGGGCATCCCCGAGCTGGTTCCAGCACCAGCACCAGTACCCTAACATAAGCAATGGTCAATAACCGTGGAAAATGAGTCCAGTAAATTTAAAATACACAACGGACACAAGTATGCCACTTACAAGGGGACGTGAAGGAGTAGCTGAAATTTGTGACTGCTGATACTTCAAAATAGTCCAATCAAAAACATAGTCAAACTGAAAGCCTGTCAAGAAAAAACAACACAGTAAGATGCCGCTTCCATTCACTTGCCTTTTCTCTTACAAATTACGGAGTACTATTTTGTGAAGCTTAGACACTATTCTTTAACATTCTTATTAACCTTCACGGATGAAGAGGTCACGAAATATTCTCTTCAGATAAGCATAATCCGGTTTGTCCTCAAAGCGGAGTGAACGGCAGTAATGGAAATATGAAGCAAATTCTGTGGGATAACCTCGACATAAGGCCTAGAGAAAAGGACAACAGAGAGTCATGTTTTTTCACAAAACATTGTCAAGGGACAACTAATAATCAAGTTTGCAAATAGATTACCTCAATAGATGTTGACACCTTCTTTTCACTAATTTTCTCATATTTCTGTTTCTTGGTTCCTGCTTTAAGTCCCTGCCAAGGAAGACTGTAATAAATAGATGTCAAAACAGATGATAAGCAAAGCACGGGGAGCCAGTAAAAAATAGTGTGAAAGCAACTATCACCTTCCTCTTAGGAAGTACATTAGTACATATCCAAGAGATTCCAAATCATCCCTCCTGCTTTGTTCTACAATGCATATAAAGTACAGTTTAGTGATGAGAGAAAACAAGAAGAGAATGATATCTACATGCCTACATGTTCCACACAAGCAGAATAATACTTACCAATGCCAAGGTGAGTGTTCATGCTTGCATATCTTGCTGTTCCAGTCAAATTTTTGTTCTCCCTGCAACATCCAAGATAAGACCACTTATGAGATTACAACACAAAACAATCTACATGCAACATAATGAAGCATAAAAAGCATAGTGCATGCCTGCGTTAGTACATTTGTGGGACAGATGAATTGGGTAATTAAGAAGTACAAATAAATAACAAGTCTATGTGAAGAAAGGAAATTAATTAATGAAGTCATGTCCATAACCAATTACCAATTGATTGGATAGTGGATATGTCAAAATATAAGCACACATGAAGTTTGGTTAAAACCAACCAAAAATGGCTAGAAAAGATAGCACTCATAGCACATTGGGTATATTTAGTTATCTCTTCAAATGATATGCACATTTTAAAGGTTAAATCTACAAGAGGCAACTGAAACCTGTACTGGAAGAGGGCTGCACATGTAGAAAAATAGAATTGAATAAGTGAAAAATTAGAACATAATCTGCATCAAGATCCATTTACTTTAATATAGTGGAGCTTAAAAGGAAGGTGATATCTTGCAATTTAGTGAACAAGCTAGGCACTTCTACAATGCTATAATAGGGGAATTAAAGAAAGTAAACTGCCCCTTCCACACCTAAAATCAAGAAAAAATATAAGTGACATCACCCCACTCAATTAAAAAAAAAAAAAAAAGAATCACAAATTGTAGCAACATATGTTGTACAGAAGGCATTGGATAACACAATATGGTAGCATGTCTTATATGGAAGGGACAAACTGGTAATTATCCATTGTGCAAGAAAAGGGACCTTGGATGTAATAAAAATCTATGTAAAGTATACAACTAACATGAAAAGAAACACAATCAGTTAATTGGCAGTAACAATTAATTTTTAATGCAACTGCATTTACATGAACCTAGAAAAAGCAGCTAATTATCAATATACCTGTAAGGAATGTGTTGGTGAGTTGAAGTGTCTCGGTACTTCTTAGCCAGACCAAAGTCAATTATGTAGACCTGCATTGTAGAATAATAGGCCATATAAATATTTATAAACATGTGGATCCAGAGGAAATCCTTGATACAAAAGGTACAAAGACTAGTCAGAAGACCAGACCTGATTTGCACGTCTTCCCAAGCCCATAAGAAAATTGTCAGGCTTGATATCTCGATGCAAAAATGACTTAGAGTGTACAAATTCAACACGATTGATCTGTAGAAAACATCAGAATAAAATGTCAACAAGTTATTAAGGATATAGAACTGTCCAAAATACAGAATGGATTAAAATTTCACCATTTGATCTGCAAGCATCAGAACTGTCTTCAAAGAAAGCTTCCTACTACAAAAGTTAAATAGATCTTCAAGACTAGGTCCAAGCAAGTCCATGACCAGAACATTGTAATCCCCTTCCACCCCAAACCATCTCACGTTGGGTATTCCAGCTACAACATAGAATAATCACAATTAGAACCCCAATTATATCAATCATCAAATACCACAAATGTTGAGAGAAAACAAACAACAAATTCCATTACTTCCTCCTTGTAAAATTCTGTATAACTTCGACTCATACAGTAACTGAGGATGTTTTGTCTTGACATTTTCCTGCAACATAAAAAAATAATAATCAGTTTTGCACTTTGTGGTCACTAAAGGCTCAAACAGTAGTAAAGCATGAAGAAAAAAGTACAGGTCAAGCAATGAAGAACACATCTACATTCCTAGACATGTCCACACACACAGTTGTATAGTGCAAACAGTGCTTTTGACCAAGATTTCAAAAAGTAACCATATAGTGTAAACAGTGCTTTTGACAAAGTCTTCTGTTTTCCAAATGTGACCATTCAGAAGAGAATGTTATTTACATAATACTAGGAGTTACACATAAAGGGTCCTAATTAGGTAATTAGGACAAAAATTCTGCATTTGGGTAAAGATATGTTAGAGAAACAAAAATAAGCCAAAAGATTTACATGAAATTCATGTCAAACATGCACCTTGATAAAGAATCAAACTTTTCCTTTTCCATTAAGGGCCTTAACAGCAAAAGCTTCTCAAATGTGGTAACCCAATGTTTAGTGGTGGGAATTCAAGCCTTTTGAACTAATATCAGTAACAAATTTCCATTTTACTGTTAGTGAGTGTAATTATGCACAAGGTTACACTTCATCTAATTAAGTAATTCTACTCCTCAAAGCCTAGAAGTCGGATTAAAATGCATAACATAACTTTGATATAATAATAAAGCTACAATGGATTCTACTTCCATCTCTGCTGTTCAAGTATCAAAGACCCATAATTCAGATGTAAACTATCTACATACAACACAGTTTCCATATTCAACACAGCTCTGATGCAAAAGACTTCAAAGTCAACCCTTTACAAACGAAGCACACCAACCAAAAGCAATTCATTTGATGCACCATATATTAAAATTTAACTAAATTTCTATTCAAAGAACTACTCACGAGCTTAATTGCCACTTCCTCATTAGTCTGTATATTAGTACCTGCAACAGTCACCCAAATACGAACTCGATTACCAGCTCAGCCAAAAATACAGTATACAGTACAGCAAAACCATAGAAAAAATAAAAAAAAAATAGAACTATTCAGAGCAAAACAAACCGAGATAGATCTCTCCGAACGATCCGCTGCCGATTTTTCGTCCAAGTCGGTACTTGTTACCAACACGGGGCTCCATCAACAGAAGGAGAAAGCACAAAACACAAGCAAGTAAGCTTGTTCTTTGTAGCCAGAGATCTAGGGTTTATTGCTTGTTTGTTGATTCTTCTGGTTTTATCCCAACCAAACTAGGGTTAGGTTGAAGCAGGAGAGAAATGAGAGAGAAAGAGAGTTTTCATGTGGTTTCTCTCTCTATATTTATACATATATCTCGGATATATGCTTTCCTTTTTTCCACTCTCTATATTTAACGGCACTCTTCGTCACATTTCGGTCGTCCAACGAAGCGGAAAGTGATACTAAAGTTGTATCCTACCGTTTTTTTTTTTGGGAATGCTATTTTTGAGATATTTTACATAAATATATTTGGTAAAAGTTAATTTATTTTTTATTCTAGATTTATAAATAACATAATATTTTTAATTTTTTTAAAAAAATATTTTCTTTGGTCCTAATATTATTGTAAAACTGTCTAAGTCGTTGAAATGTTAAATACAAAAACATTTCGATTGTTTTATACAAAGTGAGTTTGACCCGCTATATCTTTTATTTTTTATTTTTGGAAAAAAAATCATAATTTTCTTGTATTTAATAACATTTCAACGATTTTGTTGATAAATGACCAAAAATGGTAATGTTACAATAATATTATGACCAAATGAAGATTTTCGAAACAAAAAAAAAAGGGACTAAAGTGTTTTGACACCTATAAATCTAAGACAAAAAATGATATTAACTCTTTGGTAAATATATTAAAAATAATATTATTTTATAAATTATAAAAATATATTTAGTATATTATAGAAAAACATCTATAGTTATACAATTCAAATTAAACTTCTCTAAAAAGAAAATTATATATATACTTGTGCAAACTCGATCACCTCCATTTTTCAATGTGAGAATTGCTTCTTATAAATTATTTAAACTCCATTTTTTCAATTTAAATGGATACACTTTAAAAATCAATTTTTCATTCACTCATTATCAATTTTATGCGTATAATATATCAAATGAAACATCTTACCTAGTAGAATTCAAACAAAATTTAACCCGATTAAAACTGAAAGTGAAGTCCATTGAAAATTATATCACAAAATGATCACTTTAAATGTCATTTTAAGTTAAAAATTTTAACACTGAGAATACTTATTATCACTTGACATACCTTCGTAAGTGTATCATGTACAATTTAACATCATTATAAATGTTGATAATATTATTTATGAACTAATGAATAATATGTTGACATCATTGGTCCATTGTCCTCTTTGCTCCCAATTCTCTCATGCATTCATGATTTCTATTTTCACGCTTCAAGGACTTATGTCGCATGCAATATATATTTGCTACTGTACTTTAAATATCACATTCTTGAATATGAAGATTTGGAAATGAATTAATATCACAACCACATATATTAAGCACAATGACAAATACTTGCATACATTGAACAATGACTCGTTCGAACATAATTTTGTGTCCCACGTGGCTATTTTTGAAAGTATGAACAAATATATAAGGTAATTTGAGTCATTCAAACACTATTGAGCTGACTTTTGTGATTTAATTAGAGTCTGAGTTTATATCAATACAGGAGGTAAAGTGATTTTTATTAATTATGCCAATCAAACTATTCAGATTAGAGTTACAAACATTATATATATTTATAGACATTATTCAGATTAGAGTTACAAACATCATATTCATAGACACCTTCAACTATTCAGATTAGAGTTACAAACGAGTTACATTCATAGACGCCTCCAACTATTCAGATTAGAGTTACAAACATCATATTCATAAACACCTCCAACCACACAGCAAACTCAATTTGGGTTCAATCACGGAGACAGGTGTTGTCACGTACACATCAAACTCAATTTGGGTTCAATCACGTAGACAGGTGTGACGGTTCAATCACGAAGACAGGTGTGACGGTTCAATCACGAAGGCAGGTGTTGTCACACAGCAAACTCAATTTGGGTTCAATCACGTAGACAAGTGTGACGGTTCAATCACGGAGACAGGTGTTGTCACACAGCAAACTCAATTTGGGTTCAATCACGTAGACAGGTGTGACGGTTCAATCACGGAGACAGGTATTGTCACACAGCAAACTCAATTTGGGTTCAATCACGGAGACATGTGCAACATTCCAATACCTATCATCTCTTAGTAACATAACATATGGGACATACAATAAAATCATATTTGGTGAAAGCAAGAGGACATCCAGTGGACACATGCATAGATGCAATAATTACAAGAGAAAAACAAAAAGTTGACAGCAGGATGAAGTAAAGAGGGGAGGGTCCTATTGTCCTAATGTCCTATCTAGCTAGCAAGCAAGCAAGCTAGGCTGCCATGCCACCCATTGGTGAAGTACACATACAAATAATCAAAAGGAAGATGAGATGAGATAGAGGGTTTTAATTTATGGATCAAAGACAGCAGCCCCACACTTGCATTTCCACCCTTCTGGCTCATAATTTGTATACTGCACTCCCATATGCCCACTCCTACTAGTAGTAGTTGGTACTTGAATGGCCACACATGGCTTACACCTCCCACATTTGTGCTCACAGTTTGGTGGCCTTGACCCAACTTTGCTCAGCATTTCCCCTCCCTAAAACAAATTGTTAGTTCGAAACTAAATGCGGGTTCGTTGAATAGTACTAGCGTTAGTTAGTGAAACTCGAACTAAATTTGACCAGTAAGCTAAGTACGACGACATGATATTATTTATGCATGTGCGTGATTCGGGGTTACAACTTACAAGGAAGACATATGTATGCAGCTGAATGGGGTCCAAAACAGCTTGAGGAGAATCCAAAATCTGAGCTGTACGTGTGTAAGTAAAACAAGAAAAATCAAATTTATCAACGAAAAAATTGATAGATATATAAATGAATGAAAATTTGGTTTGGGGTCTGGGAGGAAATTAAAGGCTTACTTTTGTGAGGTGCCAAGAAGAAGGGCCTCTTTGCTGCACAAACCAAACTTAGAACATGCAGTGTAGCTGCTAAAAAGCAGCAATATCTTCTGATCTTCATCTTCAAGTGGATGGCAAGAAATGATTGTTGGGCTAGCTAGCTTGTGTATTATATACAGGGAGAGAGAGAGAGAATTTGGAGAGTGAGAGAAGCAGGTACAGTGGAACAAGAAAGCCACCATTGACTAATCAATAGAATCCATATTCATGCAGTGCAGACATTCTTGGACTTGTGTTTCTATGTTTGAGTTCTGAGGATTCTGTTTTCTGCCCTTTTGTCAAAGAGTGGACTTGAGACTTCTCCTGATGGGTCACTTGAAAGCTGAAAACTGATCTTAAATGTGAGAGATATTGCTCCTGCACAATAACAAGTATTTGTACCCTCTGTACCCTCACATATTTAATAGCATCAAAAGAAGCATAAATATAATTTGTATAAAACAGTTGAGCGTTTGAGATTCCAACGGTTAGTTTAGAGCAAAACACTGCTCCAAACGGTTGCTCGTTATGTTGTATATGTCTCATAGGGTACTAGAAGACGATGGGTGCTAAAGCATAGTGGAACAAAGGTACTATTCACGAGTAATTTTGTAAATGTACAATTATGTTATGTTTAATTATATCCCTAAGATATATTATCATCACGATCAAGAAAATAACTTATTCACATTGTTCTAAACTTGTTCTTCTTCGTTTTTCTGTCTTTGTTCTTGATTTCTTTCTTTCGGTTTCTTGAATGAGTTAAATTAAAAAGTGGGTAGGTGGTTGTTGGGTAATATGTTGGACCAGTAGGCATAAGGGGTGTTTTTGGTGTGAGAAGAGATGACAGTTGGATTCATTTAATCATTTTTATCACTAAGTCCACATTGCATGAAGCATTCTCAAGATGGATTAGTTGTCATCTTTTTAGTTTTATGGGACACTGCTAAACTACCAGCTAAATGGAACATGATCTGTTGTGGAAATTGATTCAGTTTGACCAGTTATTCAACACCCAGACCCATCCCAGTCTATGGATGGAACAAGAATATTCTCCAAAAAATATTATTATTCAAACATTAAAACACTATACATACTATCTACTAAAATTCACAACATGATTTTATAAAACCTTGCAATATTATGCATTTTTATTGATTAACTGCCAAATCAAGAAACTCCTTAATTTTAAAATCATCTGATTATGTCATATATATATATATATATATATATATATATATATATATATATAATGTCCAATGAGATTTTTTTTTTTTGGGTATAACGTGCTCGACTGGGATGGTGTTAACAATAATTAAATATATGAAAATTTTGTTCAACCCATTTAACAACTCATTTCAGGAGAAAAGTCTAACCATTCTATCACATACATGCAATAGTAATTTGTTAAATGATATTTTATTCATGTATAATATTACTCGTTTTGTTGTTGACTACTTAGAGCAAATTTAATGGAAGAATAGTCCAAATATGGCGTTTTGTTAGGTTAAGGTGCCAAACAAGGGAGAGAAATGTTTTTTTTTTTTGTTTTTTGTTTTTTGTTTTTTGTTTTTTTTTTTTAAAGATGAAAGGTTAGGGTTGTTGTTGCCTAATCGCCCTAGCTAACATGTTATGAGGGAAATAAAACACAATAATGGGTTAAAATGATTAAATTAATAAAAATGTAAGGCAACGTAAGAATACCTAAAATGATTATATTCCTTTCAAAATAGCTAAAAAATTTATGTTGTTTAAATGACATTTTCTGAAAAAACTACTTAATTTAAACCAAATATGTGAATTTTATATTTTCCAAACAAACATAATCTTGATTATCTTTTAAGGATAAACACCCTCAATGAAATGCTGACCGAAGGAGTGAGAATTTGACAATGTACAAAATAAAACTGATTCTTTATAGGCAGTTCAAGGTCTTCGAGCATGCAACAGGGGCTCATCCTTTCATTTAGTTCTTAATAATATTAAAAACTTGTTAAAAGATTTCTCTAAGTTGTAATTTTTTTTACTAAGCGATCTGCAAACCAAGCAGCCTATGTCATTGTTAGGCTGTCCATTTCTATGTCAGATTGTTCAGAGTGGTTTTCAAATCCCCTGATTTTATCTGTAATATTTTATCTTTGAATCTTTATTTTTTTTTTTAAAAAAATGAAATGCTCTTATGTGAAAACGGATTTGATTGAATGAAAAGGGTACAGCCATGTAGATTTATAGACCACAGCTAGCTAGCATAGTAGAATACAAAAATAGTAGGATATATGGAGCTGTATAATTATGTCAGCAAAACTACTGCAAAAAGCATCAATCAGAAAAACAAATGAATACGAGATTGGCTTTGATTGTACATTTATTATGTAATTATTATTGAGAACAATTATGTAATTATTATTGAATACTAAACTTTTGAAATATGATCAATGGCTCTCTTTGCATGAAATTAAATTCTCTGAGCATAGAGTTGGTGAATTATATTGCAAAGATTAATGGTCTGCGGGCAATTGTATGATGCACATGATACAAAGAAATGATTGAACTCCAACATTCAAGACTCCATCTACGCTAATTCTGAAGTTTAATGGAGGAAATAAATTGTAAAAAGTGATTTTGATACTTTACTGTAAAGTTAACTTATGAATGAAAATTTAATTTAAATTTAAATATTATTCAATCGAATCATTGTTCACTCCATGACAAGCCAATGTTAACTACAACTCATACTTAGCTTCAAACTCTTATTGGTATCATGTAGTCATTTTCTCTTATAGACGATTTTATTCTAAACCATACCAAGCATGCACCATGTAACCCTTTTATAGGTCGCTCCCTCCAATCCATTAGGTTAGCACCGAACAAGTAGACAATTTCACTCTAGATGTGACACAGTTCGATTCCAGTTCTGAACTGGCGGTTCACAATTTTGAAAAATGACAAATCGAAACACTACCGGTTATGGTTTGAACTTTTTTTTTTTTTTTTTTTTTTTTTCATTCTGAAATTTTTAACAATAGTTTAAACAATAGTTATATCAAATATTTAAACTTAAAAATAAAAATAATTTTGGATTTGCACTTAATTTTACTAAGATTAAGTTACGTTGTACGACATATCTTATCAAAATATTAATAAAATTGGGAGAAGAAAATATTAATAAAATCAAAGTCCACGTAGTTCTCTTACATTTTTATGTTATATTTTTTTAATAAGAGTCGTTTCTTTTTGGTGTAACCCAGGGTTTCCACCCTTAGACACATTGATTAATTTCTTCGCTGAATTGTAGCTAGGCACCTCTATTAGATGAGACATCGGCCTTGTTATTATTATTATTGTTGTTGTTGTTGTTCTTATATATTATTATTATTATTATTCCCATTTTATTAAACCGGAACCGGGACCTTTACATTATAGTTCGGTTTCTATCCTGCACGGTTAGGTTTGAACGGGAGGGTTTGATCCGAACCATGGTCATCCCTATTCCACTCTGGATAATTTTCACTTTAGACTCCTATTAATTCTCTCTGAACCTTATCAATCCGAGCAGACATCTTTTAGGTAGTCATTTTTTCCCCACATCGTCCTCTCAACGAGAGAATGAAATAATAGTGGAGGTAGTCATTTTTTCCCCACATCGTCCTCTCAACGAGAGAATGAAATAATAGTGGAGGTTTGACTCTAGCATAAATATCGTATCATATATATATTTGAATGCTACTCTGTTACAATGTAGTATCTGTTCATAACTACTTTCTCAAAATATTGAAACACAAAGAGCCAATAACATCTCCACTGAGACTTGAACTCACAACCTCCCATATGAGAGTCCAACACGGATGCTATTAGACCACAAGGTCTTGGCAATCTTATCATATTTAATAGCCCACAAATTCTTCAACGGGGTTATGCATGTATAAAATGTCACAACATGATCAATTATATACGTTTATAATATGTATATCAAAACTCTATATTCTGAGACTGCTATTAATTCTTGTTGGAGCAATGTAGAGATGGGAATATATGGGGTGGAGACAAATGAAGTGTTAGCCGTTTAAGGAGTAAAAAGGCAGAGTTCTGAAGGAGATGAGAATCTAGACAGTGTGGGTGCAGCCTAAATCTGTCTGTGTATACACACAAATATATAGGTTACTGTTTCATAGTATAGGCATATGGTGCATTTTCCTATTATGTAGTCAGACATGAACTTTGTGTCCCTAGCTCATTTTTTCTAGCTCCTCTTTGGGCTTTCTGCATCACTGTCACTTTGATTTGATCATTCAATCTGCATCTGTACTTGCCCTGCCTGCATCTCTATGTATTCAACCTGCATTTCCATTCCCTTTGTGTTTCTAGGCCAGTCTGCTAAATTTTACGTAGTATTTTAAAATGGAGTTACAGGTTGTCTTGTCTCAAATCTCAAAGTTTTAGAGCATCCCCAATTGTAATTTTTGATGTGATTTTGAGAAATAAAGGTGATGTGGAGGAGAGAGAATAAATGAGGTTCTTACAAAAAAGACTGAGTTTTTGTCTCTACCGTGGAACCTACTAAGAAAGAAAAAAAAAGAAATGCGCCTCGCGAGAGGCGCACATCTTGCGGCCAGCTAGGCGCGTGCACTGACAATATACGTTATGATCGACTTGATATGACCTTATAGGTATTTGAGCCTTGTATAGTAGCTATGTCGGGTTAAGGATGAATATTGTTGACACAACAACCGCCAACACGTGTCAATTTGACTTGTCCAATTAGCATTGATTAGTGAAACTGGAACATATGACATGACCAGCCACCTCACCCATTACCTGGTCGCCATATGTCAATTAATACGGGAAGGGCAACATGTGTCCAATGTTGCAAAAATGGCGCTTAGACACTAGGCGATGGCTGACCGCCTAAAATTTCAACAGTATCGCCATTATAAGCAGTCTAAGTAAATTATTTGTATATACATTATCAATAAGTAAATTTATCTTAACATCTCAGATTTTATTTATTTTTACTTAAATATATACCTCGAATCTTGGTAAGTTTTAAACAACAAATTTCAGATAGCTATATATATGCCAAAAAGAAAACTAAAAAACAAAACAAAATTATTTCATTACAATTGTTACCAAGGGGATGCACATATACAAGGCTCAACAAGTCACCTCTTGTAACAGTATCAACTGAATTACAAATTTGCTACTTTATTAGAGACCTACCAACTAAACTTTGTTCAAAAGGGGAAAAAATAGAAATCAAAGAATCAATCAGAATTCTAAGCTCCAAAGAAAAAGGAGCCAAGAGAGAATGGCACATGTATAATAGACAAAACTTATGAATGAATATAATGATATGAAGATTTGTGTTAGTTTCCTCTGTGTGATCTTCTCTGTTTGTTGAAGGTCAGATTAGCGAGCCGTGGATCCATTCCGGTTAAACGACGGCAGTCCTTGGCGTCCGAGGACTAGGCAGCCCCATGTATGCAAGGCGAGGGGATAAACGCACCTTGGGGCTTGGGCGTGGTGACGGGATTGGACCGTAGTTGATGAACCCGCCATTAGCCACCCGAGGCGACAGGTTAACTTGCTCGAGTGCCCGGAATTGAACTTCGGTTGGGTAGTCCCGGACACAGCCAATGCGCGGCCCGACCCCGGTACACCACTTGTAAGACATATGTTTAGCCAAGCTAAATGCTGGTGGCTTCTTATTAGCCTTTCCACTTTGGTTATCTCCAACTGAGTCATCTGTGCTAGAGGTGCTTTCAGTGGTAGACAGATCCTCGGTTTTCTGTCCACTCGAGCCCTCATCAGCCTTCGTGAATGAATACGAGTCATCATCAATCGCGCATCTCTGATAAAGAATAACAAAAAAGTGTTACACAACATAGGCCAAACACACTAAAATACTGAATCCAATCAATTAGCTAGTCTAACACATGACCTTATAAACCCATATGTTACTCTTAACACAAAGTTTAATGTTTTTACCTTAACATTTGAAAGATCTATATTGTGTTCCTCGAGGAAGCTAATGAATTCTTGGAAGTTCTCTTCGGTTGGATGGTAGTGACCGCTATAAGGCCAAATAGCCTGCAAGAAACTCGACTAATGAGTAATGATCTTTGCAAATCTGCAGTTAAGCTGACAATATCGTACAATTCGTAATGTATATATTCATCAGTGATGAGTATATGATTTACCTCGAGAACACCATCATGAGCAACCAGTCTTCCAGCCGCTGTGATGGCTGCACCAGCTAGAAAACTCGAATGCTGGAACTCGCCTTTCTTCTTCTGTCCTATGTACAGCATTCTCGACGTGCTGAGGACAAAAATCCACTTTGAACCCTCTATTGTCTCCACAAAGCTACCACTTTGTTTATACACGAGCTTCCCGTTTTCAATAATCACTTCATACGATTCTCGCTCTTTCTGGAACACAAAACAATGAGAGCAAAGATCAGCCATCTGCTGTTATTAAGTATGTAAATTAAACCACAACGCAAGATCATACCCTCGTTATCGATCAAGAAGTCGATAGAACAGTTGAAATGAAAACAAAGAAAGTTTTGTTTCGAAATAACTTCTGGGCTTAAAACTTAAAAGCAGTTTCATATCACAGTGTGATCATTGTAGACTTACTGGTCCGAGATATTGAATGCGTTGACGCTGCAACTTGCTCCTCGGGCACTTCTCGAGATTAATTTCTTTCCCAACTCCTACATCCAACCTTCATAGAGCAGATTTAATAATATCAGATTTCAAGAAATCTCAGAATTAAGACAAAATTTTCATTTAGTTTCACAATCTAGAAAGATCAAAGCGTAAGTAAATCTTACCAGTAGAAGAAAGGTTGTGAGCTTTCACTTTTAAACCACACGTCGTAGTAGATATGCAAATTGTGTCCGTACCTATGTTGTGGATCAATCTGAGCACAATTCAAGACAAAAACGCATTCATGTTAGCGGGATAAAGTCGATAAAAGTTAAAAGCATGTATTAATTACATAAGAACACTGATGAACTACAAGAAATCGGATTGACCAAAAGACTTACAGCTTCGAGCCAATGCTGTAAGGCCAATTTTTGCGCTTTCTCGTCCTTGGACAATCCCTTTCCAACTTTAGCCACTCGTGTACGAGCCCTGGCCCAACGAGAAACAGCAGTCTCGGGTTTCTTAACATCGAAGAAGGAAACAGAACTCCGCTCGAGTGCTGCAAAGTCCAACGCTTTCCACCTAAAACAATCAGACCAAACATCTTAGTTTAGTTAGCTCAAGCTAAGGTTGCATAAACATACAATTCTTATGCCTCGATGTTGAAATTGTGTCATACCATAGCTCCTCGGCCACGACTGCACAATCTGCAAGGCTCCGCCTAATCCTGTAACTCTTGTACACTTTCTGCAGCTTCACTGCAGCAGCATCGAGCTCGCTGACAGGGCGGGGGGACGAGAACGTAATTGCAGGCGAGGTAGGCGGGGTTCGTTTACCACTCGTTGCATCCGATCTTTTGAAGTCCTGAACCAGATCCTTGAAAGTAAGGTTTCTTAGGAGCATCAGCTTGATAGGCTCACAATGCCTTACACTAATTGAATTCTTCCTCGTCATCTTCTCTGACTCAACAACAGCCTTAGAATCTATCCCTTCATAGCTGCTAGCTTTTACAGTCATCTCTCAACTCAATTCTTACCACCCTATAAGAAGATCAAGATTCTTATCTCTCAACAATAATAGCTCAATGAATTCAAGGCCTTTTAACCTGCAGATTCAAAGCTCCATGTAAATACAAGATTTCCCAGAACTAATCCAAGATTATTGCCCCTAATTTAACTCTAATTCCATCTCACAATCTTAAGTTCAACTCACAATGAAATAAGAAATAGCCACAAAATTTTCTTATAAACTATTGAATCAATTCACCATTAAAACCCCACCAAAATGCAGAAAAAGTACAGCAAGAAATCACAGAAAAATAAACCCAGAAAGAACAAAGAAATCCAACATTTTTTTTTATAAGCTATTGAACCAATTCACCATTAAAACCCCACCAAAATGCAGAAAAATAAACCCAGAAAGAACAAAGAAATCCAAGATTTTTAGTGTAAGTTAATGAATCGATTCACCAACAAAAACCCAAGAAAATGCAGAGAAATAAAAGGTGAATAGCAACCACTATGAAACAACACCAACCTGCAATAATGGAAGATCAAAGCTTTGAAAAATTTTCTTGTTTTTTCACTGTTTGATCACAAGTTATCACCTTTTTGAACAGTAGAAGCTACAAAGATGTTTATGATTATGATATGATATGAAATGATGACCAACTGATATTGCACCCCCATTGCTATATATACAAAGACAGAACACGTAGGTTTCGGGAAAAAAATAAAAACCATATCTCAAAATAAGATTAAAAAAAATGCCGAGTCTAAGGAGACCTTGAAGTACCAAAACAGCACGTGGACTGGGAATTACAATACACTGTTATTTGAATTCTTGTCCCTACAGACAATTTTACAGAGAAGTTTCTGGCAAATTGTTGAAATGGGAACGCGAAAAATAAATGAAAAAGGGAAATCATGACTGGGATTATAAGTTTCAAACGCACGAGGTGGTTACTTTGATCCGTTCAAAGCTTTAAATTTTTGAACTACTTTTTTCTTGGAATAACACAACAAAGCTTTGCTCGTTTCATAGTCTCTTTCTTTGACAATGAATATTCCACAAACTTTTTTTTTTTTTTTTTTTTTTTTTTTGTCATAAGAAATATGGATAGTATATAATATTATTTTTTGTCATGTCATGAGGTACTCACTGTATGAGACATTTATAAGTTTATATGACCATTCATACCTACCAATTTGGTTAGTATATGATATTACTGATATAATTTTTTTTTTATAATGTTAACAAAAATTTATTAATACTCTTTCAGTTTATTTGACATGTTTATTATTCATTGATTAAGTTAAATTTTTTTTTCTTATTTTTAGTATTTTTAAAAATTATTTTTAATACGATAAAATAACGATGTGTCAAGAAAATATTTAAAAAATTAGGGAATGCAGCATTTTAACATTTCTTTAAGGTATGAATTTTCCTAAAATATAAAATTTCCATAAAAGCTTTACCCTTGTCTCTTTCTGTAAGCTCCTTTTTTTTCGGGTGACTTTTTTTATGGTTACTATTTTTTTATTATAATCTTTAATGGCATGTTTGGTTTATGGAATAGGTCAGGAATGGAATAACATTCCTTGGAATAGATCTATTCCATCGTTTGGTTGGATCATTTTGTCATGAGAATAGCATGCCTAGGAATGAGCTATTACCTTCGCAAGGGGAAATAGCCATTCCTAGGGGGGCCTTGGTATTAGCTATTCCCATGCCCTTGGGAATAACTTTTATATCACAAATACCAAAAATACCCTTTGCACATTATATAATATTTATATTTATTTAATAAATATAGTGTATTATATAAATGTATATATTTAATTAATTATAATTTTTATCCATCAATCTTTCAATAAATAAATAAATAAATAAATATATATATATATATATATATATATATATATATATATACACACACACACACACACACACACATTTTGTAGCGTTTGCAATTGACATTTTAAGAAAAGAAAAGTAATTTCTCAAAACACCGGCCGTGACAGTTTATTTTATATATATATATATATATATATATATATATATATAATTAACTGTATAAGACTCCTTAATTATGGAGCCTTGGCTCCTAATTAAGTAGTCTGCTCATCTGCATGCCTAGCGGATGGGCATTGCAATTGAAATTATGGAGCCTTCAGGCTCATTTTATAGGAGCCTCAAGGCTCCATTCCTTACTTCTCCAACCAATGTGGGATAAATGAGAAAATAAATATAAAAATAAATATGTATTTGTATAATAATAATAATAATAATAATAATAATAATAATAATAATAATTATTATTATTATTATTATTATTATTATTATTATTATTATTATTATTATTGTTATTGTTATTGTTATTGTTATTGTTATTCTCTCTCTCTCTCACACACACACATACATATACATATATATAAATACAAATATAAATAAATATATATATATATATATATATATATATATATATATATATATATATAACATTCAGTATATCATAATCATATTCATTATTATTATTGTTATTATTATTATTATTATTATTATGTATAAGGGTATTTATGTCTTTAAAACCTATTCCATTTCTATTCCATTAACCAACCAAACACTGGAATACAATTACTAAAGTCTATTCCTTCAGCCAACCAAACAACAACGGAATACAATTCATATTCTATTCTTTACCTATTCCATTCCATGTGGAATAACATTCCTATTCCCTCCAAATTCATTCCGTGAACCAAACGTGCCGTAAATATATAATTAAGAAAAAATTTTCTTTATCGGTAACAACAATATCATATGGGTAAAAATAATAAGAGTTTGATTTTTGCCAATATCTTTTTAATGAGCCTGTACAAAAGGTCTTTGTAGAATGTTTTACCTCTCTTATGTGGTTTGTAGATTATTCACAATAACGGAGTTTACCCACTAAACACCATTGGATGACTATAGATTTCCCTCGTCACGCCCAAACAAAGGGAAAGTGATACAATCTTATAAATTGATAAAACTAAAAAATGAGTTTAAAATTTTCAAATTACAAAATATTTTGCACCTTAATTATTTTAAATAGTTAACAATAGAGTTAATTCCACTAGAGGTCCCTTGTCTATGGTGGTAATTTTAAATTTAGTCTCATTCTATCGTTTTTGTCATTTACCATTCCAGACTATTATTTTTTAGACATTTTTAGTCATTCTCATGACTTTTTCTATTTTTAGTAAGGACATTTTTCTCTTCATATTTTTCTTTTGTTATTTTTCCAGTTTCAACCGGTTTTATTGGTTTAGAACTTTACTAAAAATCAGTTGAAAATATGGTTACTAATAATCGGAGGTTACCTAAAGTTCTAAACCAATTACACCGGTTGAAACCAACTTCATTTTTGTGTCGTAGTTGCAATTTAATTCATGTCAACCAAACATGTCATTTTAGCATTAGAGGGAGAGAAATAAAAAAATCAATTTAGCAACCATCCTAATGCGCCCAGATGGCGCGGGACACCATTAAGAATGCGATAACCACTTATTTTATGCTTGTTTTTTTCATTCTAAAAAATTGTACACATTACTTTGAATTTTTTTTTTCTCTCTCGTCAATCTCTCTTCCAATTATGCAAAATTCTAACAAATTAAAAAAGCTATAACAGATGAAGGAACTTTGTTATGATCATATCCATATTGAGAACGACTCTCTCCTAGTGATTCAAAGCCTAAATAATGTCATTGAAAGTGACTCTTATTTCCATTTAGTCATTAGAGATATTAAAAAGAAAAAAAAAAAAAAAAAACTATTGAGATACTTTTTTCATGTATTTGTAGTTATTGCTAAATGATCAGCGAATTGAGCGACCCATAGGTTAATTAGATAGTATGTTTTTATGTCTGATTATGTGAAGCGACTTTCTAATCCTCCTTTTATCATTTATAATGTGTTAACTTCATATCTGAATTAATACATGCCTTTGTTTAAAAAAAATAAAATAAAAAGAATCAATGGTGCTGCCTTTATATGGTCAAATATAGTAAGCTCTGATTCCTAGGAGGTATGTATATTGCATTATTTCATATATATAGGTATGTAAGTGTATATGTATAGATAAATATTTGTACGGAGTACTATTGTTTTGACTAAGATTTTATGGGGTTTGTAAAAGTCAACTACTTGTACAAAAGTCTATAGTCAGGTTCACGAAACGCGCCCAACACGGCAACAAATCTAAACTACGTAATGCCATGTGTGTTTTGACGTCTGCACTTAACAAACACCGCTAAAAACCAAAACCTCGTTTTTTGTTTTTTTTTTTCTTTTTTCTTTTTTGAGCAACCCCGTCCTTAATATATGCTCACCCTTATATGTCAAATCCCTCACTCCAAAAATCTCACACTTTACTCGGATAAGATTATTAATAGGTAAATTTATAATAACTTGCGATTTTTAAGTTGGAGTACAATATAAGTGGTTGGTGTTTACAAATTAAAGAGTCTATCGTAGCGGTGAAACTCTCACACTGTAATTATTAAACTTCGATATTGAACTTTCACCCGCAATATGATCGATGAGTATCAACTGGACTACTTGTGCGAGTAGTGTCGACCCTGAACAAAGGCAAATTGGTTGGGCCCTTGCCCAAGGTCCATGCTTGGTGGGACTCACTAAAACAAGTTTTAATTAAAGATAAAGTAACTTTTTTTTTTTTTTGTGTCCTGAGCAGGCCTTAACTATAGGAGGCACCGTCTGTACCATACTCACACTAATCCAAAGTACTGGTCAGATTAATTTTTTTTTTTTTTTTTTTTATACAAGAGAGGATTCAAACTCTCGACATCTCTTAAGAGATAAGAGTATACAGTCACTCATGTCAACCAAGCTGGTTAGACTACATAGTTGTTATTAGACATCTTCAAATTCGTACAACTTGTTATATAAACATTAAATAATGCAAGTGTTGATATTTCGTGTCAAATAATTTGTCCTGGGAGTTGAACAATCTATTAACATTATCATCATTATTTTTTGTTATTATAGAAATTCATTATATCCTACGCAATAATATTGTGATTATACTTTATATTTAATAAAATTATTATTCAATTAATAAAAATAAAAGGATACAATTTTGTTAACTATGCAAACAATATTATTATTATTATTATTATTATTATTATTATTATTATTATTATTATTATTATTATTATTATTACATAATAATCTAGAGCTTTCATTATCAAAGTTTTAATATATACTCCGTATTAATTTGACATTTAATGTTTTTTTTCAACTGAAAAAAGAAAAAGGAAAAAATGAGCTTAATATATTCATCGTCGGTCCAATCTTGTAATGGTCATTAAAATCGCCCTGCGCTGCAGGTTGCCTGCCAACCACACCAAATTAAAGAAGAATTTGTCATGCATCATTAATTAACAACAACACAACATTATACAATAATTAAGTAATTAATTATTTAATGGCCTTTTAATAAATCAAGTTGGCCATACTATGCAATATCAGTGGTAGGGTTTGAAATTTTAAATAGGGAGTCAGAGCTATAACACGTATAAAATATATATATATATAGGGAAGGGTTCAGGTGCGGAGAATGGTTTCCCATGCGGTTGGACGCACCTTAAACACAGAACAAAACATATTAAGCACAAAATCCACGCACCTAAGATTTTAAAATGGTTCACAGTAAGCAAAAACTCACGCACATTAAGCACAAAACTCACGTACCTTAAGCACAAACTCACGCATATTAAGCACAAAACCCACACACCTTAAGCAAAAATCTCACGCACCTAAAATTTGACTTAGATGCAAAAATTACCAAATTGCCACCGCGTTTTTATATATATATATAAATTTTGGTAATCCTGGACCTTGATTTAAGCAAGATAAATGTCTCATATTCAACTCCACAATCGCACCTGGGACTGCAAACTGCACCAGAACCTAATTTTCTCTCTCTCTCTCTCTCTCTCTCTATATATATATATATATATATATATATATATATATATATAATTGTGTACAATCATAGAATATTACTTCTCAACAATTGTACGT